TCACTCCCCACATTTCAGCCCCAGATCTTTTTTTCCCCTAGGCTGTTTTTTGGGGTTTGTTTGTTTGTTTGTTTGTTTTTAAGCAAGAAGAGCCAGGCTCTGATTACATGCCTGTAAGCCTTGCTACTCAGAAGGCTAAAATTTGAGGATCATTGTGCAAAACCAACCCAGGCAAGAAAGTGTGGCTCAAAGTAGTAGAGTGTTATCCTTGAGCAAAAGAGCTCAAGGACAGTGCCTAGGCCCAATGCTCAAGCCCTATGACCAACAACAACAACAACAACAAAAAAGCAGCAGCAAGAGAAATCTTCTATCTTCTTCTCCATTCATCCCATCATGTCTCCACCTTAACCACACATCTTCACATTTCATACCAATTTCTAAGGTGATGTGGCTCAGCATAGCCATGGCAAAGACCTGATTAAATTCTTTAAAAAAAAAAAAAAAACCACCCTGCACTGAAATGCAGCAGTATATAAATCAAGAAACCATACACATGCTAGAAGAAAATAAGGTGAATGTAAGCTCAGTTACATTCATAAAGCTGCTCTGCTGTCACTCAAATCCAGAAGCAATAGGAGAAATGAATAATACAGGTGACATTTTAGAAATGCATGCCAAAAGGCTCTATAGAAAAAGTCAAAGAGTTTGATCCCCAGCACTCCAAAATACAAATAAACAATCATGAGACAAATAGGAAGAAATATGTTTAAAACATAGAGCACAGGTATTAACAGAGGAAATCCAGAAACAGATGGACAATACCTTAAAACTCGAGCCTGCTAAATGCAGTAATATATACACAATGGAATTTTACTCATCCATTAGAAAGAATGATATTGCGTAAGATGCATATTGTACTCATAACTGACATGCTGAATTGAAACCCCTTTGTGGCTAAAGAACATTTTTAAAGTTATACAAAGAAGAATAAATCTAAGCACATTCTTGATCTAGTAAATAACAAAAGTGCCTGTGTCCCTTTCCCACCTGGACAGGTATTCCTGGAAAGTCTTACAATTCATCCTATTTATCTTCATGCAAGCTATGCAAAGTGCATATTATTTTGGCCAAGTATGGTTGTAGGAGTCTGTCATTCCAGCATTCGGGAGACAGAAGCAGACAGGATCAGAGTTTGAGGCCAGCCTGGAGTACAGGGGAAAGCCCAGTCTCTAAAAGAGGTTAAGAGTGGTAGCTTTGTGTTGGCTGTGGTGACAAGAGCAGGTAGTGAGAAAACCTGACTTCTAATTTTCCTTCCTCAGCTGTCCCACCGCGGGGTGATCCTGGACCAAAAGTCACCTCCATGCTCTAGATCTGCAAATAGGCACAAGAAAAGCCCACACGTAGGGTTGTTTTAGAAAGATCTACAGTTAAAAGGTCTGCGAATGTGCAGTTCTGGAGTCTGTCAGTGGGGAATATGATCAAACCTCAGGGGTCTTCAATGAGCCAAGGAAGGACAGAGCGGCATGAGCACTGCCGAGTCTAAAAGCAGCCTGCCTTTAGAACCATTTTTAAGCCGTAGACGCTCAAAGGGTGCTGCACGCCGCCGGAGTCCTGGTTCGGCCCGAGACGGGCCCCGAGACGGTGGGACCAGCTGCAGGATGGAGCATCGGCACCGGAAGCCTCCCTCCCCGCGGACAAGAGGGACGTCGTCCCCGGCTCCTGGTGACAACTTCACGCACGCACGTGAAGAGCGCGCAGCGCACGGGCCGAGCTGAGCCTGGGATCTTCTGCTCCAGCCCACGGGACCCACAGAGCTCACGCTTGTCGCGGATCACGACCACGACTGGGGAGCCGCCACACGGTCCCCACTGCCCAGACATTGGGGGGCAGGGGGAGCTCGCGTTATTGGGGTCACGCTAGCTGGCATTGGGTGTGGCAGGGCGGCAAAACCGGGAGCGCCCTGGCCGAGGCCAAAATGTGTCCTGGCGAGACCCGGCCGCCCAGCCCTGGCTGGTGCAAACGCGAACCCGGGCCCAGCCCCAGAGAGCCTGGGGGAAAAGCCTTTTCACGTCATTGATTCTCCTGTAATCCAGGAAGGCAAGGCGGGAAGCTAAGAGCTGCTGGCATCCCGGAGTCCTCTCCAGCGGCTTCCGGGAGCCTACGAAACACGGGCTTGAAGATTTTAACCTGGGCTGGTCCCCAGCCTCGTGCCTCCGGCTCCGCCGGGGCTGAGCGCGGGGAGGAGGGGGTGGGGTGTTGTGGACGGGCACGTCCGCCTCCCTCAAAATCACCCAGACCCTGACCAGCTGGGGTGCAGGAGAGAAGGTAACAGGGTTTTCCTATGAAGTCCTGTGATAATGTTTTAATAAGCATCAAAATATCTCATTGGTGTTTTTATCTACATATGTATACTGAGGAAATCATTAAAAATATGAACAATGAAGGCATAGAGATTAAAACAAGCATGGAAGATAAATAACCTTTTTTAACAAAACATCTATATTGGTGAAAAATTACATATTTCCCAAAGAATAAATACTCTCTTCTGGTCCATCTGTTTGATTGCTGTCTTAAATCATACTTGGAAAAATACGAAGGAACGTGCTGGACACGTTTATGATGTAAATTTAAACCTACACATTTGCACAGACCCTGTGCGCTCATCAGTACTAAATCAGAGAAGAGAATGTATGAAAATGCTGTCTCTGGGTGGATGTTATTTTCCTTCCAGTTTTCCTCTATTTTCATTTTTCCAAGGTGGGGCAATGTCTTTTCTAATCAGAAAAAGCAAGATAAAACTTAAATGTAAGTTTTCACAAGATTATATGATCTATAAAGGAAAACGATGTTGAAGGAAGGAAGGGAGGGAGGGAGAGAGGGAGGGAGGGAAGGAAGGGAAGATAGGAAGGAAGGAAAGGAGGGAGGGAAGGAGGGAGGAAAGGAGGAAAGGGAGGGAGGGAGGAAGGAAGGAAGGAAGGAAGGAAGGAAGGAAGGAAGGAAGGAAGGAAGGAAGGAAGGAAGGGAGGGAGGGAGGGAGGGAGGGTGGGAGGGAGGGAGGGGGGAGGGGGGGAGGGAGGGAAGGAAGGAACAGAAGACAGGAAGGAAGGAAAGGAGGAAGGGAAGGAGGAAAGGAGGAAAGGGAGGAAGGAAGGAAGGAAGGAAGGAAGGAGGGAGAGAAGGAGGAAGGGAAGGAGGAAAGGAGGAAAGGGAGGAAGGAAGAAAGGAAGGAAGGAGGGAGAGAGGGAAGGAAGAGAAGAAGGAAGCGAAGGAAGAGAGTTCAAAAACCAAATATAGCAGGGCATGTCTCTAATCCCAGCAGGGAGGACTGGAGGATCTCAAATTTGAAGCCAACTTGGTCCAAGTTAGTAAGGCCCCCTTTTGCTCAAAATAAAATAAAAACAAAAAGACAACTGCAAACTGTTCAAGGAGTTGAGAGGTTTGCAGGAAGCCAGAGATCAATCTCCAGGAAAAGAGAAGAAGGCTTGGAAAGGTTTATTGTTTGAGCCTGATGTTATCTGGGTATACCCGGTGGAGGACCTTCATCTCTCCCCCTCATCTCTACTCCTCACAGAAGAGAGAGAGAGAGAGATCCTCACAGAAAAGAGAGAAAGAGGGAGAGAGGAAAGGAGGGAGGGAGGGAGGAAGGAAGGAGAAGGAGTGGGAGACAGGGAGGAGGAGGAGGGAAAGAAAGAGGAATCTGGAAACATTCTGGACATAGCTTATTGTGAAGATTGTGTAATTCCATGTATATAAAATCACTGATCACATGGTAGCTAATCAATCAAATCTGCTGAAATCTAGCATGATCCCCCCCCCCAGAATTAATACCCACTAGCTGAAGGGGAGGGTGAGTTTGTTTTACCTGGGTTTCAAGAAATAATATTCAAACAGCTTTTGCATCCGTAAATATTTAACCCAAAAAAGAACTTTATATTTTTTAAGATTTCCTTTTAAAAAAAGATTTCATTTTAAAAAAAGGATTTGTTAAAATCTCTTTGCTTATACCGTGGAACGGTGCGACCCGATCATGTACTCTTATTAGATTGGGGGGTCCACTGGGGATTGACTCGGAACCTTCGGATCCTATTTCCTTGATCCAGTTAACCGAGTAACCACAGCCTTGCGCATCCCTTCAGGGTAGAAGTAAGAAATTCTCCCAATCGTCTAGTACTGTGGACGCGTTATTTGCTCCACTCCTTACGGAAATGAGCTTAGAAAACGGGATGCGCTGCCCCAACGCCCTCCCTTTGGGTCCCAGGAGGCCAGAGCTGCCACCTCCGTCCCCTAACCCCTGCCTCACAGTGACGTACGTACGAGGAGCTACACTGAACGGTCCAAGTAGCTTTTCTGGGGCTCTAAGTCTCCCTCAACCTCCCCACCCCTTAGACCCTCCAAACAATCATCTTTAGGAAGGAGAAAGGGAAGAAGAGAAAGGGAGGAGGAAGAGGCAGCAGCCAAGGCACATCGGGAGAGGGGGGTGTCCCCCGCAGGGGTAAACGGCACCCCCTTCTCACCCCCTCACTTTCTAGTCCCCCAAATATATTGCGCCCCACGACTCCAGCGCACACCTCAAAGCCATCGGCTCCCCGGCTTTCTCTCCCTCGCTGTAAGAGTGACTGGAGAATTGACCTGACGTGAAGCTGAAAGTCCAGCCGCCATGGGGCGGCCCCCGGGGGCCCCCACCCCGGGCACGCTGACCCCGGAAGCACTGACCAGGACACCAGCCGCACTGTCTTCTTTGCCTTTGCCGGTGTTGGAGGGGAGCAGCAACTCCCAGGAACGCGACTGGAGCTGGGGGAACTCGAGCCCCCCCCCCAGGCTAGCCTTTGGGGAGGACCGGGCAGCACTGGTCAGCACGTGATCTCCGCCAGAACCAATGGGGGGCGGTGGTCGGGGTTCCCCCATCCCTCAGCCTGCAGAGACATCTGGGACATCGAACCTGTGTCCCACGCCTTGAGTCTGTCTTCCATCCTGCATTCGTGCCCAGAAAGTTCAGAGTGCAGCCCCTCTCCCCGCGGGGGTACCCCTAAACCGCCGGCCCCGCCCCCCGGGCCTCGGAGATGCTGCTGGGCCAGGTCACCCTCACCCCCTTCTCGGTCAACGACATCCTCCAGCTGGAACGCGAGCACAGCGACCCCGGGGCTTTCCTAACGCCGTGGATGGCACCCAGGGGCCTGGGACCCCAACCGAGTGAGTCAGAGGTCTACCTCGCCAGCAGTGTGGACAGGGCCGGCCGCCGGCCCCCTGGGCGTCCCTGGGGGTCCGTCTCCACGGCGGAGGCGGAGGAGGAACGGATGGAAGAGCCACGTGAGTACACTCTGTCTTCTCTTCCTGGCCGAGAATTCTGAGAAAATCCCACCGGAGGATCTCACCCCATGGCCCTCAATCAAGTCCCCCCCAACCCCTCCCAACTCCTCCATTCTTGGGGAGTCTCGGGGAAACATACGGTTCTGAATTGTAAGGAAAGAATTTACTCTTCCTTCAAACCGCTCCAGCGGCTCCCATTCCCGGCCACTGTTCCCCAAGACACCCCTTCGCCTTCTCAAGCCAACCACACCACCGCCTGCCTTCTCCCTCACCTCCTCCCGCCTGCCCTCTCCAGACCTTCAGCCCAACTACTGGCATCCTAGGTCAAGACGCATTGGACTCCTAATCTGACTTGTTAAATTAAAAAAAAAAAAAAACCCTTTGTGCACACTACTTCAAATAATCCAAATAAATGGAACTTTAAAAAGTACAGCCACCAAAGCAGAAACCCTTGCTCCTCCTGGGCTCACCGCTCAGTCCTGGCCCTCTCCCCCCCCCCCCCCCACAGCCTGGCTGGACACAGCTGCCTCCCCATTTCTCTGCAGGTTCCACAGTAGGAGAGGGTCCCGTGGGGTCTGGGCACGCAGGGGCCTCGCGGCCAGGAAGCGTGTGAAGAGCAAGCTGGGCCCTAGCACTCCTGAGAGAGGACTCAGGGTGATCCTGGCCCGGTGAAACCCTGTGAGCTAGCTGCGGGGTTCAGGCAGTTAGGTTGCAATGGCTTTGGAGAGCCGGGAGGCTTAGGATTCTCTTCCCGTCCCCATTCTCACAGGGCTGGGGCCCTCTCAGAGCGGAGCAGCCACACCCGAGTGCCTCAAATAAGAGGGAAAACTAACCAAATAAAGGGCATCTCTATTGGACCTGCCAGCTGGTAATCCATTGCCTCCAGAACTGGCAATCACCATTGTTCCAAAAATGGGGACTCTCAACACCAAACTAAGTCGATGCTGTACTGTCCCCATGCAGCCCAGCCCACAGTGCTGCACAGGACTTACACACCGCAGTGGAGTTCCTGGACCTATGGGAAGGCAGGAAGAGGAGGGACCTCAGAGTGTGGGGGGTACTTCCTTGCTCTGTGTACTTGCTGACTTTTAGCGTTGAAAGTGAGTCGGTGTCATTTGGGTGTGCAGAGCAGAGAACCCCGTGTCAGTATTCTCCCCTTCCTTTCTCCATCCTCCTTTCTCAGGGCTCAGATGCCTTTGGAGGAAAGGCTCAAGCCCGCCCTGACCACTAGGCCTGTCCTACTCCACTCAAGCCTGCTCCCTTTGCCACCCGCCCTAAAACCAACCCTCTCTGTGGCTGTGGGGTAAAAACACAGGGCTGAAACCAAGATGGGAGGGAGGTGGGGAGGGGGAAGGAAACGTTGTATTTTGTGGGTGCTGGGCAGAGGGGATCAAATGACTTAAGGGCCATCTTAATGCTATCTGCTTGTGAGAAAGACCCCAAAGAAGAGACTGTTTACCAATAATAATAATAATAATAATAGACCTCAATTTATAAATCCCTCCCAGAGAACCTGTTTCTAACCCTCAAGTTCAGGAGCCGGGAAAAGCTGTCTTTCGTTTTGATTTGTTAATTTTGATTTCTCAAAACCCTTCGGCGCCCTTGGTAGAGGAGGAGCACTAGAAGACCCAAACCGGCCCCGAGCAGGGAAACCAAACTCTCTCGATGGGCGCAGAAAACGTTTCTTCCAGCGACAGCCATACACATGCTGGGAAGAAACGGGCTTCATTCGTTCTAGCGCCTTGGAAGGGGTGGGGGGTGGAAGAAGAGTCTGGCTGGCATGCACACAATGATAGATAATACAATAATAATATAATATGATATACTATAATTGTCACAATTCTATTCCAGCGGAGCGCAAGCGGTAGCTTGCAGGAAAGACACACTGACTGGGCGGAGCCGGGGCGGGGGCCGCGCGCGCAGGGCCCGCCGCCCCGGGGGAAACCAGGAGGGCTTTGCTGTGCTGCGTCCCACGCTAAGCACGAACGGTACTGATGCTGTGACCGCTTCCTGTGCTTTCAGAGGCTGTCCTGAGCGCGCCGCCGCCTCTCCTGGGCAGCGGGAACGGGATGCTGGAGCGCGATGGCGACGGCGAGGGCGCGCGCGGCGGCCGCCCCGAGCCGCCCCCGGCCCGGCCGCAGCGCCGGAAGCCGCGGGTGCTGTTCTCGCAGCCCCAGGTGCTGGCTCTGGAGCGGCGCTTCAAGCAGCAGCGCTACCTGTCGGCGCCCGAGCGCGAGCACCTGGCGGGCGCGCTGCAGCTCACGTCCACGCAGGTCAAGATCTGGTTCCAGAACCGGCGCTACAAATGCAAGCGGCAGCGCCAGGACAAGTCGCTGGGCCTGGCCGGCCTCCCGCCGGCGCCGCGCCGGGTGGCGGTGCCCGTGCTGGTGCGCGACGGCCAGCCGTGCGTGGGCCCCGGCGCGGGCCCCGGCGCGCGCGCCCCCTCCGGCCCCTACGCCCAGGCCGACGCGCCCTACGCCCGCTACGGCGGCTACGCGAGCGCCCACTGCGGAGCCAGCTGCGCGGCCGCGTTCCCCGCGCCCGCCGCGCCCCTCGCCGGCTTCAGCCCCGGAGGCCCCAGCGCCACCGCGCAGGGCGCCAGGGCCTGGTGAGGATCGCCCGACGCCCGGCGCGCGCATCTCGGCTGCCTCCACGCTTCTCCTGGGTGGGCTTCTGGGACTCCGACCTGACCCCCCACCCCGAGAGCCGCCGGGCTGCCGGGGGAGAGGGGGAGCAGTGGATGCAATTTGGGGCGTCACCGGGAAACCCAGGCCGCGCGAGCATACTCGGTGTGGGAAGGCGGTGAGGCCCGTGACTTTTCAGCCTGGTGGCCTGAGTGGTTCTTTACCCTAGTCCGGAAGAGGGGGGGGTCACGGAGAGGGCGACCCCTCTCCTCTGGTCCAAAGAACGGGGAGGAGGGAGGGAGACGGGAAGGAGAGGAGGGCGGTCAGGGGATGGAGGACAACCAAGGCTCCAAACGGGACGCCGAGGAGCCCGGCCCAGGGCGGGTGTTTGTGGAGTGACTGGGAAGACCAAGGTCACCTTGACACCTCCGAATTAAAGCTAGATCTGAGAGAGACAAAACCCATTCCGCTGGAGACGTGCTATTTGATTTGTTCTGTTTCGTGGGGTTTTTTCCTTCCTGGGGCTTGAACTCCGCTGCCCCCGAGCTCTTTTTGCTCAAGGCGAGCGCTCCACCACTTTGAGCCACAGCGCCACTTGGGATTTTCCAGTGGTTAACTGGAGATGAGCGTGTCACAGCCTTCACTGCTGGGAATGACTGTGCGCCGCGATCCTCCGATCTCAGCCTCCTGAGTAGCTTGGATGACAGGCGTGAGCCACCAGCACCCGGCCTGATTGGTTCTCTTGTATTTCTTTCTCCCTCTTTGTGTGGCTTCTTTGGAAAGGCAATGTCGCAATTCCCAACGGGAAAGGGGCACCCCCTCCATGTGGCAAATCCTAAAAACATAGATCCCCCAAATCGTCATCTTATTATCGTCTTTAGACACCGTTAGACCATAAAAACTCTGGTCCTTTATCCTCCCTGGACCACTGACCCATCCGAGGTTAAATAATACTATTTAACAGATTCTGGCGATTAATTAAAATACACTACCTCTGCCCTTTGTCTTCTCTGACAGTTATTCACTCTGAGCAGGAAAACAGAGACTGCTTGTTCTGACAGCTAGAATCAGGTACCAGCTATGGCCGGATAGTTTCGATCCCCCTCCCCCTTCACCTACTGGAGGTGGGGGGTGAAGAGCAATTGTCCCTGCGTTTTCTTACTCCAGCGCCCCTCCCCCAGGTTTCTTTCTCTTTGCTCTCCTGGCGACTTTTCACTTCTCCATCTTCACCAATAATAAAAGAGTATTCTAGAAACACAGCCCAGTGTCTCTTCATTAACACTGTGTCCTTGGGATTAAAAAGTGTGTTTTCCTCAGATTTGGAGATCTCAATAAGAGATCTCCTCGACTAAATTAAAGAGGGAAAAAGAAGAAAGAACGGAGATCACTATGAAAAGCTTCAACCTGTGTGATCTCCAGGTAAGTTCCCTCCCTCTCTCCCTTGGGAGGTTATTCCTCATAAGTAATGATCAGATGGCAAAATACTATATTTTTTCATTTTTCCTTGTTATTGGAAAGGTGATACACAGAGGGGTTATGGTGACAGAGCTTACGTAATGAATACATTTCTTTTTGGACAATGTCCCCCTTTCCCTCGCTCTCTACCAGTGTTTCCCGTCCCCGCCCACAAGTTGTATAGTTCATTTTCAACAGTGTCCAGTGAGTATTATTGCTGCCTTTGTTTACCTTTTGTCCCTCCATTTCTGTGTCCCCCTTTCCCTCCCATAGACAGACTAACAAACAAAAGGAAAAGAAAACAAAAACAGCAACAATTTTTTTAAAACCCTCATTTCCATTTCTTGGCATTCACTTCGATAAATACCAAAATACTATATATAGTATTTTGTCACACTTATAGAACATATTTCTATGTTAACCTGAAAAAGAAACATCTTCCAAAGGTTAAGAATATGGCTCATCTGGAGCTGGGAAGGTGGCTCAGTGGTAGAGTGCTAGCCTTGAGCTGAAGAGCTGAGGGACAGTGCCCAGGCCCAAGAATATGGTTCATCTACAGAGTGCTTGCCTAGCACTGGTTTCAAGCTCTGGTTTCAATCTCCCAGTACCTCCAAAGCAATAAATAAGCAAATCACCTTTGGAGGAAGGTCCCTAGCCTCTGTATATCATGGTATTTATCATCGGCACAGAGCGGGAGGTGGATAAATGTCACCCCTTCTCCTCTCACTCCCTTCTAGCACAGGGGAGTCATGCGAGCAGTCACAGCTACTGGTTGTCTGAGGGTTTGCACAGGCCCAGAAGACTCCCAGCCCTGTGCACACCTCCATGTGCCACCTGAGAAAAGCCAAGGCTGGACTCAGAGTGAAGGGAAAGAAGGGGCCAGGGCCTGGACCTCAGGAACTCAGCCTCTGCTGCACATTCTTGGAAGGGGACAGAGATTCGGAGATACGGCTGCCACCCTAGTGGGACTTACTATCTAACTGGGATTAGCAAAGACCAAGGCAAGAAGGGCATCTAAAAATACTAGGTGGTGGAGGCCATGTGTCAAATCGAGCTGACCACAGGCTCCTAGCAGAGAAGGAAGATCCAGGTGGAGCTGGCATGTTTAGGAAGGAAGGCTGCGAAGAGGAGGCCTGTGTGGGAATGAGGCTGTTTACTTGGGAGAGGCTCTGGAAGAGATCTAGGACTGCAAGGGCAGCAAGTAGATCACCCATCCAAGCCAGAGTCCTATTTCCTACTGGGTTTCCACACAGATCAAGGCTGACACCTGGGACTTTGTGAGCTGTGTTCAGTGGATGGAGGACGCAAGAGGAGAGGAAGAAGGGCTGGTTGGGCACAGGGCCCCGGGCCTTGAGCTGCTGGCTGGCTCCCTTTGCCCGCACAGCACGTGGGCAATGGACACTTCATATCCAGTTCACTCAGCGGTGGCTGGGGCGTGAACCGGCCTTCATCAGGTTAAATTCTAGATGGGGGTGGAATCTCTATAAGCTGATTCCTGTGCAACCCATGTGGTTTTGTGTGTGTTTTTCCAGATCCCAGTGACGTTTGGGCTTCCCCTGACACCAAAGGAAAAGAGCGCAAAGGCACAAAACTCCCTCCTCCACACTTCCCCACTCCGCCTGACAGGGTCCCTTTAAAAGGCCTCCCTCCCCCCCCCCCCCCAGCCCACCAAGCACCCCTCTCCTCCCCACCCCCACCCCAGTCTTCCATCTCTGTAATCTCTCCTCACCCTGAAAGCTGCTTCTTTTGTGTGTCTCCTCCTTACTACTGCTTATCCTGGGCCAGGCGCTTCCCAGCCAGCCTCTTATCTGCATCCTTCAGTCCTGTCACTCCGGTCACCTCTTAATGTTCACAAGTTCCCCAAATGGGAAGTAATTGACCTCTAAACAAAACAAAAAAAGCTCTCAGGGAGATAGCGCAGGCTCTGGGCCTCACGGTCCCTGGGCCAGGGGCCTCACCTAGGCCAGGTGGATAAGTCAATACATTCGCAGACTTCCTGGCTCCCTGTCTCTCCATTCCTGCCCAGCCCCCCCTCAGGCTGGCTCCTTCCAAGCCATCTACAAGTCAGATGGAGCAGAGGCTAACTAGGCCAGATTGTGTGTGTGTGTGTGTGTGTGTGTGTGTGTGTGTGTGTCCGTCCAGTACCAGGGCTTGAACTCAGGGCCTAGGCACTATCCCTTAGTTTTTTCAGGCAAGGCTGGTGGTCTACCACCACTTACAGCTTTTTGGGTGGTTCATCAGAAGAAAGAAATGTAATAAATGTTCCTTTCTGGGTTGGCCTCAGATCTCGATCCTCAGATCTCAGGCTCCTGGGTAGCTTGGGATTGATTGTATGAGGCACCAATGCCCAGCCTGGCTGGAGAGCGGGGAGGGGCATATTTAGAATCTTAAAAAAAAAAGTCCTTTTGAAAGGATGTATATCATTTGTATCAGCTGTTAGTATGTAGCAGCTGGCCAGCTGATACAATAGTTGTAGCGACTTTGTTACAAAACAAGGCAGCTCTCAGACTGTAGGGCCTTCTTCCTCCCTTCACATTGAAGAAGAAGCCTGGCTAAGTAGATGGTGGTGGCGCATTAGGACTTCTCTCCCTCTGGTCCTGGTTCTACAGACTTTGAGTCAGCCTCCTCTCCTCTTCTGGGTTTGTCTCCTAGGCTCTAAGATTAAGGGCTGGACCTCTGTGACTCCCTTTGGGTAAGATGTTACATGCCTTTTTTTATTTTTAAAATTCCATCTATAGGAGTGGATATTCAGCTCAAAGAACATCTATAAAATGGGCACAGGGGAGGTCCATTCAAGGCAGGGCGCAGTGCCAGCTGCCTGTGCCAGGAGGATGCCCCCAGCTTTGTCCAGAAGAGCCAGCAGCTGTTCTGCCCTTCGAGTTATTAACTCTCAGGACTCTCATTATTAAGGACCCATCCCTTCACAATGTGATCTAATTTCATCTTACTTTGAAAGTTGCACACGTAGTCATCCTGCATGCTTGCTTTTATGATGTGGCTTCCTTCATGTAACTTGAGGTTGGGGGATTTATCTAGACTCCAGGTGTTGATTTAATTGTATGATTCTTTGCTGTTATTACAGGTATGTGCTTTGAGTGTGTGCATTCACTGAAAATGAGGTGTCTTCTGGGCACTTCAGCTGTGATGATTTGCTGGGGAAGGATGCAATCTCTGATGGGCTTCTGTCTGCAACCTTGCATGGATAAGCACTTGCATTGTATTTACTGTATGACTCTGTTCTGCGTCTACCATCTACATCCATGGCAGAGTAGCTAGCCTCTCCATTCAACCAACCTTGGGTAGAAAATATTTTTTTTAAAAATTCAAAACTTCCAAAAAGCACAGCTGACTTTGTCTCATCTGCAGTGCAATGCTGTGAAAGTGATATACGAGCACACAGGTTCTATGCAGACACTCAGCATGTGATATAAGGGACTTGAGCAGGTGTGGATTTGGATATGGGGGTGCTCTGGAGCCAATCCCCAGGAATACCTGATGAAAACAAAGAACTGGGAAGCAACAGCTTTAGTGAG